GAGATTGTTTATGTCCAATAAGAGAATAACATGACCTAGGTGTGAATGTTAGATCAATTCTGGACATAATAACATCAGTTCTGAAAGTGAGTTCTTTTTTAGAGCTTTCAGCTGTCATGTAAGAAGTCTGGCTACCTGGGGGCCACCATATAGAGTGATCCCATACATGCATATAGAGAAAGAGTTCAAGTCTCCAGCTATTCACCTGGGTGATAGATATTTGAATTAAAGAAGACTTTGAGATGATCTCATTTTCAGCCATTGTCTCACTACAACTGCCTGAGAGCTGTGTATGCATTAAGACTCTGCCTAGCTCCAGATTCATACATAAAATGAATAATTCTCATTGTTTAAGTCACTATTTTGGGGGTGGTTTGTTGTGTAATAATAGGTAACTGATACAGGTATCTGGTAGGCAGTTGTCTCTATAGGTCTGGAGCTCAAGAGAGAGCTCGGAGTTGGAGGTATAGATTAGGAAGTTCTTTAGCAAGGAGAAAGCCATTGAAGACATTTTAATGAATGAAATCACCAGAGAGATAATGTACATTGAGAAAGGAAAAAAAGAACCTGTAGTGGCACCTTTAGTAATAACACTGAAGGGATCAAGAAGAAAGAATCATTTGCAAGGAGACTGAAGGGGAGGGGTGGTTGGACAAGGTGATGAGAAGACAATTAAGAAAGATGATGTCAGGAAGTCAAGAATGAGAGCATGCAGAAAGAAGGATTATTTTCCAGTCAAATGCTGTGGAGGAGACCAAATAAGACAAATACTGAAAAATGTCCCTTGGTTTTAGCAACAATGAGTTTACATTGTTGGCAAAAGTAGTTTCAGGGAAATTGTGGGCTAGTCAATGATGGGGGCAGAAGCCACATTGCAGAGTTAACGAGGGATGAGAAGATGAGGAGGGTACCAATGCCTGTGTTGTTTTACTACATCGTGTTGGGTATCTCCATACCATTTGTCTATATATAATTATTTTTCTATAATTCAATAACCCATAATCATCACATCATGTCTTGAACCCTATAATTCCACAATAATATAAGTAGATAGTATCCTGATATAGATTTACCATTATACTTTAACCTGCAGTTTCCAGTTATAAATATATTACTGTGTGTGTATTATTGTAGTTACTTTAAATCTCTTATTGTTTCTCTTGCAATTAAAATACTTTACTATTTAAAATAGTACCCAGTGCTCAGTGTTCACTGGTGCCTTGTAATTACTTCAGAAAAACAATCTCAGTTTAAACATTATGAACTCTTGAGTCATCTCTGCAGGGGGAATATCTTACTTTTGCCAGAGAAGTCTGGGGAAAATTATCCTAGGCACAGCCTGCTAATTCATTGGCCTGCTTGTCAAGGCTCCCATTCCAGTTCACCCTCCTGGGAGGCTGGTGTGGGACTCTGCTTGTATAAGTGGGGGTCAAGGCCTCCTTGGCGCAATGAATGAGTTGCCAGAGGTTTGTGGAGAGGAATTCTTCTTAGTTCTACCTGTAAGTAGATCTTGCTGTAATGGCCTTTAAAGGCTTCTCCAAGCCTCTCTTTCCCACCTCTTTTCAAGGGAAAATTTTTTTAAAATGCATTTTTATTGAATTTTAGAGAGGAAGAGAGAAGAAGAGAGAAACATCAGTGTGAGAAAGAAACATGGATAGGCTGCCTCTTGCATTCCCCTTACTGGGGATTGAGCCCACAACTTGGGCATGTGCCCTGACCAGGTATCAAACTGGCAACCTTTTGGTGCATGATGCACAGGATGATACCCAACCAACTGAGCCACACCGGCCAGGGCTTCAGGGGGAAATCTTACCCCACCTCCTTCATTATTTGCTTCTTCATAGATGCATGGAGACAAACACTAAGATGAGCATGGGAGTAAGGCCTTCCTATGAAGTATTTACATTTCAAAGGACTTGAACTTTATATTTCAAATGTCACTTCCAAATGAGGGTTTATACACCGACAACTGATTTGCAAGGTAATGTGCAGCATATACTTTAAACTCCTGTTGCATTCCGCAGCTACACTGGCTGCAGCATCTTTTTACAAATCCTATGGAGTCCTCGTAAGTAAATATCACCACAGAATGTATTGTACTTAGAAACATTCTTTTGTTAGATGTAAAAGTTTAAAATGTACTCTTATTTTTGAAAATCTTTTTTGAGGCATTTCTTCATGTTTTTAGATGCCAGAAACGTCTAAAATGGAAAATTCTTGGGCATTTCTCAGTATCTGCGAAGTCGTGCCTGGGGAACAACTTTGATTCTCTGTGGAAGGAACTGTGGGGTGTGGGGCATGATCCAGTGAGTGTTCAGAGGGGCTTGGGAAAGGAAGAAACAAAATACTTCCGTATTGAGCACGTTTTTGTGCTCAGCACTGTACTTCGGGCTTCACCTTCTACATTTAATTAAGTAGAATTCATGGAGTGAGGCCTGAGAACACAAAAGTCCTGGGGAAGATGGTCTAAGTTGTCATCAGAAGGGACTTAAAAACACTTTAAGGTGGGGCTTGGGGTAAGGGTAGAGGGAAAAAGATCTTGCCAGATTATTCTGCACAAATACTTGTGTCATCCTCATTCGGGTAGTCTTGGTGACTTCTTGTCTGGGTTCATCTGGTTGGCAGATGGATGCAACTGCCTTTTGGCCTCAAGGAAGGCAGAGGGAAGGCACGTGGGAGTGGTGGCCCTGTGATGATAAGGCGGAGAAGCCGAGCCTCAGAGGGCTGCAGCTGTGTGAGCGGTCACGTCATAGGTGTGCTCGGGGTGCTCGCGTCCGTGCTGAAGGTACCACCGATTCAAATAGGATTTTCAACTGGGAAGACGTCACAGGCTTTTTAGTGTGGCCCAAGTGGATATATTTTTAGACATGAAAAGTAGAGCATGTTCCAAAAGTGCTTTTTATCTGCCATCAGGAATAGGAGGACTTTTATTTATGGTAATTTCAGGTCCCTAAATACGTCCAGCCATAGTACAGTGGGGCAAACAACCAAAAAATTAAGCAGTAGATGATTAGTTGTATGTTATTTTACAGAGAACCTATTTCTCTTGCCTTTGGAAAATATAGGCCTTCTTTTCTTTTCTTTTTTTAACTATGATTAAAATAGATTCTTTTCTAAGATTTACTTAAAATGAACATCTCACCTAGGCAGCAAGAATATGGACAGTACAATTGATCTTGTCTCTTGGCCTTGATGACTCAAAGGAAAATACACACACAGGAAACAAATCATTTGAATTTGCTAATATGTATTATAATGTAAATATACATGGAATAGACATGGACACAGAATGGAATATTCAGGAATAACTAGAAAAATATCTACTATTTATTGAGCTACTACTATATACCAGATTCTTTACTTATATTCACTACATCATTTAAATTAAAATCATCCTATGAGGTATGTTTCATGATCACCATTTGTCCCAGTGGTGTTTCAAAGATATTAGGTAATTATTCCAAGGACACTGAGCTGGTTAGTAACAGAGCTACAAATCTGAACCAGGTTTGTCTGACTCTGAAGCTTATATTTTTTCCAAACAATCTGCTTTTCAAAGTCATGACAACTACTGGGAATAGCACGGAGTTGTACTATACTGTCCATATTCAAAGAACTATTTGCTGAGCTTTCTTCCAGGCACAATGATAAATGATGTGGAATCTAGAGATCAAAGTTGAGGTGTTCTTGCCCTCATGGAACCCATAGGCTAGTGGGGAAGTCTAAAAAGAATATTAATGAATATGAACATATTGGGCATTGACATTCATCAAGGTCAAACTCTGCAAAACTCTATCAGTGAATTCTGCCTTTAAGTTAGAGTGATCAAACCAGTGCTGAGGCGAAATGCCAGCTGGAACCTCAGCAAATAGTGGTAACTCTCAAAACAATATAAATTGCTTGGGGGCACAAGGAAATAGGAGAAACTATCCAAGAACTTCACCAAATAGGCATTCTATACCCTACCCATGATGCTTTCAATAGCCTGGCACGGCTAGTAGAAAAGCCATGTGGCTCATGGTAGATGACCGACTTCTGCACATGGGCCATGAAGTTTCAATCGCACTGTACGTGTGTGCCCGCACGTGGTATTTTGTGGAAGAGCCACACTCAAGGGGCCAAAGAGCCGCATGTGGCTCGTGAGCCGTAGTTTGCCGACCACGGCCATAGACTATCGAGAATTAAATATCTATGCAGTATGCCCATCACTGCCACCATCTTGGATACCCTGGTCACAGTACTAGCAGTGTACCATGCTGTACGGGGCTTAGCACATGCTTTTTCCCATATACCCCAGCTGCTGAGTCACAAGATCGATATGCCCTCACCTGGGCAGGGCCACATGGAGTTTTCAAGTGCTTCCCCAAGGCCAGCTGCACAACCCTGCAATGTCTGGAGATCTGTCCCTGTTCTCCTTCCCCATGTCAGCAGAATGTACCATTACATGGATGATGTAATGTTGACATGTGGAGACTTGCCCCTGCTGCAGGACACCGCAGAAATGGTTAATGACAAGGTGCAAGCTCAACTCATCCAACCCCTAAGAATGTGAAAGGGGTGCAAGTTTTTGTAGGGATTTGGTGTCTGGGGAGGACTTTTATTCCCCACTGGGCACAGCACCTCCATCTTTATACCACCTAGAAAGGAAAGGACATGTGTGGGTCTGGGGATCAGGACAACAGCCACCTTTGAGAAGGCAAAAATAGTAGTGAAGCAGGTTTAAGCTCCAAGCCTCTTCCAGGCAGGGTTACCATTTGAGTGGAATGTCTCTGTGATTCTGGAAGATAAGGGTTACACTCTCTGGCAGAAACCACAGTAGAAGAGGACTTTGGTCCCAATCCTGGAAGGAACAGAAACCCGATATAACCCCCTAGAGCTACAGCTCCTACCAGTGTGCACAGCACTCCTCCAGGTAGAACCTCTCACGAAGGAGCAGCATATCCTGGTAAGAACCTCCCTTCCTACCACAGGGTGGACTGAGAATGTTTCCATCAACTCACCTCTGCCAGGGCTCAGGCTCCCACTTTGACGAAGTGGATGCCTATTTGCAGCAGAGCAGACCCCTGTCCACCAGCACTCAGGCACTCCTATGTTGGGAACAAAAACCACTGTAAACAGAACCAAGCCAATTGTACCAGGGATATAGGATGGATATCATGGAACTGTGCAGTCAGTCTGTCACGTTAAAGGATAGAGACCAGTTTGGTACTGGCAGACTGGCTGGACTGCCAAGGTATTTATTGGGTAGTGCCAAATGGGACCTAATATTTGTGTGGCACAAATCTTTGGCCATGGCTTTCATTTAGGTTGTTGAGTTGCTATACCCTGGGTTTTCCCCGGGTGTAGGAGGGAACCTGCCCCATAATAACAAAAGTTGCCTACCTCCCTCTTCTCAAGGCTAGAGGGGCACCTTCTGTTTTCCACTGGTCCATTCTGTTTTCCACTGGTCCGTTCTGTTTTCCACTGGTATGATTGAACATCTGCCACCATCCATTGACCTGGAGGACCCTATAGCACACAAATAAGCCCTTAGTACGTTCACCCAACAAGACTAAAATGATAGCTAGTAAGCCTGTCCTTGCTGAACACTGAAATGTCTCCAATGAGAAAAGCTGTCCTCCAAAATAGGATGACCTTGGAGGTTATTACTGGCTCACAAGGCGGCACCTGTGCCATTATCTAAGCAGAACATTGTGTGTTTATACCTGATGACTCAGCTAATGTATCATCTTTATTAAAGTACATGTAGATACAAGTGAACAACCTGAGTGATTCAACGCCCAGCCTAAGGAATTTAACAAATCAGTGGTATGGATTATGGGGCTTTGGTGGAAAAATGGTTACTTACTTTGGGACTCATTCTCTTAATCTGTGTTTTCTCTTGCATGCGCCTACATTGTTGCTATGGTTTCTGCCTCTAGTGCAGCCGGATAGCCGCCAATGAACCACTTCCATGCTGGTGAAACCCCTTGCGCAGGGCACATTGTGGAAAGGGGCAGCGTGGGTGCATGTAAGATTGTAAGAGCCAGTCAGGAGGAGTCTTGGAGGAGGTCATCAAGAGGACATGACCCTTGAGCAGGACCTGAGCAATCAAAGGCTCCTCATCCCCTCCCCTGTTCTTGGAATGTACGTTCCACTTGCCTTCCCCATATCAGAAGCTGTCTCAAGGACAGTCTTGACACAGTAAGGAGGTTGTTGAGACCATCTGGACGATATACATGACTGAACCTGTTAAGGTCTTTACATAAACTTTTAAAATTTTGGTGGGCAGGGGCAGAGATCTACTCCTATTGTGGCTGCCCAAGACAAAGCCTTGTAAGTTCCCTTGCTTGTTAACACAGCCACCTGCCAATCTGGAGTGGCCTGCTTCTTTTTTCCCTCTCTCATTGACCTCCTTGTACAGCGCCAGTTTCAGATTTCTCCAGGGAATACCCATGTTTTTGAACCAACATAAACATACTGCTAGTGTTCTTGATTTGAGCTTCTCTAGATGAGATTTGGTCTTTCTTTACATGTCTAGTGTCTCAAAATACAGCGAGATTCCTATTTTTGTCCATTGTTTTCTTGGGTTATAAATGATTTTATATATTCAAATCTTTGCCCTTTTTTTACTTTTGGGGTTCTCTTCTTCTTGTTGGCAGGTAGAAATTCTTTATTCTTATACTTCTATGAAGTGCTATAAATGTCTTCTACTTTGAAAAATTTCTTTGAAAGATCTTTGGATAAATAGAAATTTCTTATTTTAATGTACTTGAATTATGGTATAATATATAGGTATTGTAATATAGAAATCCACACCTGAAACCTATATTCATGTTGACCAATGTCACCCCAATCAATTTAATAAATAAATATTTTAAAAAAGAATGTAGTTGAATTTATCTATTCTTTCTTTTATGGCTTCTGTCGTTAATATTTTATTTAGTATTCCTATTATAATTTTCTGGCTATAAGGCTTCCAGAACATCATTTGTTAATTTACCCATATGTTTATTATGTTTTTTTTGTCATAAGAGTATTTAATTATTTTATATGTAAGTTAATATAAATAAAATTACATATTTTTCTCACTCTAGATTATAGCCCCAATGATTTGCAATAAAACTTCTTAATCTCTTTAAAAATTCCCAAGTTAAAGAACCACTCTGGGCATCTGTAAATATGAGTACTGGTATCAGTAATATCCTATTTTACCATTACAGTTAATCTAGTGTCCAGATAGGAAAAAACTCCATGAGCATCAGCCTTACAGAGCTTTAGTTTGAGTCATAATTCCGAGGATGCTACAAACTAGTTCGGCTAAAATCTATGTAACTAACCTTTATATTCTAGAAGGGTCAGATCTGTGCACAAATCCATTTGTGAAGCCAAAAGCTGCTCTGGTGTAAATGTGCCACCAGGATCCATTTCAGAACACTGCTCCTTCTTGCCAAGGTCAGCGGCTATCACCGAAGTAACCAGAGAATGCCGGTGTCCTCACTCTCAAAAAGACCGCCTGTTTTGCAACATTAAATTTCAGCCCTTCCTGTCCCTTTTTTTTTCTTTTAATGATGAAAATCTATTTTGTTTATCATTATAAGAAAAGATGACTACCTTTCTATGAGAGGTTTTGATAGAAAAAAAAGTCTTAAGATTTGGCCTAGGAAATAACAATTTCCTCTTATAGCAAGTTCTATTTTCGAAGAAGTTGAGAAAATGAATACATTGTCTCCAGGTTTCCCCACATTGGAGATTGCCCTGGAGCTTTATGGCTTAAGCCCAAACTCCAGGTGTCAGAGTCTCTTCTTTATTTACTCATTTAATTTACCTGGTATACTTAGCGGTCAGCATTTCTCACCTTTCTAAGAGTGCACTCACTTACACTGCCCTCAGTATATGTAATTAGGATAAAAACCCTGGAATGAAAGGCATTTAAAACGAGGCAGGCAAACATATACAGGGTGGGATGAAGCCAGATTTGCTTTGAATAGGATCAGTTTAGTTTTATTTCAAACATAAGTTCCAAATACAGCCCTTTTGACCTGCATACTCCATCCCTAAATGGCAAACTAAACATTCATGAAAATTTAATGGCGAGGAAATTAGTACCTTCTTATGTTTCAGACTGTGAAATGGCACCAGGGAGCGCTTTCAGCGACAGGCAGGCGTGTGTGGATGTGCTGGACCAAACCTGAAACATTTGTCTCTTCAACCTGTCATCCTTCACCAGGTCAGCCGGTGGCTGAGGCGTTCTGTCAGGACACCCCTAGGATGCCGCCCAAGAAAGGTATTTCAAATAAAGACCTGGTTGTAGAATATTCTACCTTTCTTAGAGATTGGACACTGAAAAGACTTTTCACAATTTTTTGTTCCCTCTTTGGGGCTTTTCCCTTTTGACGTGTGTGTGTGTGTGTGTGTGTGTGTGTGTGTGTGTGTGTGTGTGTTTAGAGTTTCTTAAGAAATTGGGAAGGGTTTAATATTTCTTCAACTTCTTTCCTTTAATGGACATATGGTTTCACCAACTGGTAATGCTCAGACTTACCTTTCTTTCATATAGGAAGACAATGGGGGAAAGCAAAATACACTGAGATTCCAGTGCAGCAACTCAAATTCGGGGTTCAGTCCATAACAGTGACCTACCCTGAGATTGGTGTGTGGGACAGCTTGGTGAAGGAGACCTGTTCTGCTTTAGTTCGTGGATTAAATACAGTCTGAATTCAGTAAAGTTGAAAAGGAGAGGAAAGAGGATTAAGGCAGGGCTAGTGAGGAAAAGAGACATAAAAACCTATTGTTTGCCTTTATTCTTTTTTCTTACCTTCTTTTGATTAAGTATGTTTAAATTCCATCCTGTCTCCACTATTGGTATATTAGGATATATTTTTTGTTGTTATTCCATTTTAGTGGGTTTATAATATACATCTTTAACTTATTGAACTCAACCTTCAAGTAATGATACACTACTTTACATATATTTTAAGAATGTCACAAGAGTATAATTTTATTTCTCCCTCCTGTACTTTGTGCTATTGCTTTTACATATTTTAATTCCTTATATATTTTAAAGTCTACAATTTATCATTATTATTTTTGCTTTAAATGTTCATATATCTTTAAAATAATTTTAAAATAAAGAAACAAAGCCTTTTTTATTTACCAATATATTATCTTTTCCAGTGATTTTTCTTCCATATTTTAGATCCAAATTTCTATCTAGTATCATTTTCCTTCTGCCTAAATAACGTTCTTTAATATTTCTAGTAATATAGGTTTGCTGGCAATGAATTTTTTCAAATTTTGTATTTAAGGAGAGTCTTTACCTTAATTTTGAAAGACATTTTTTGATGGAAATTATATATATATATTCCTTTCAGTGCTTTAGAGGTTTCTCTTTTTATAGTTTCTGATGAAAATAAATCTTTGTGTTGCTTTGCTCTGGCTGCTTTTAAGGTATTCTCAGAACTACTATGGGCTGTCTATTGCACAATGTCTGAAAAGAGATATTACGTGTATTTTTATCTGACTTTCTAGTTGCTTAAAGTAAGAGAATTAATGTATTCCTAGTTACTTCACTATGGCTAGAAGCTAAATTCCAATACTGTGTTTATAGTATGCTTGGGCTTAATTATCTGATTCCCTTAATTCATCATGACCTTTAGGTAATGTAAGCAGGTACATGAGGATATCTACAAACATGTTTTTCTACTTTGGAGTCGTTCTCACAGACCTGGCTTTTAGGCAGTGATATAGATTTTTAGTACCTGGGTTCCCCATGCCAATATTCATAAATATTGAGTATATCCATACGGAATATTATAATGGGAAAAGAAAGATAAAATACTATTCTTGTCTGATGTCTTCATAGATCTTGGAGGGACTTGAAGGAGGGTCATGAAGTCCCTAACTCTTTATTAAGTGAAACAACATTAAAAGGATTCAGACCAAAATTGTCCTAGACAATAAAAAGTACCCCAATGAAGAAGCCGAATCTCTACATTTTTTTTCCTCCTGTGACACATTCTATAACAATTGCTTCAATTTAGAAATTTATTTTAAGATGAATTCAAATATACTTCATAAGTATGTGAGAATTCTATGCCTCTTCTGGTTGTTGTATGGGGAAAAGTCAGTTTCCATCAATGTAGAGATTCATATTTACCACTACTGTTGTTAAATTATTCTTTTATCTCCCTGGGTTTGAACAAGCTATGTACCTTTGATGCATTTAACACAATACTTATTGATTATTGAATACGACAAAGTATTACAGACACTCCTTAACTTGAAGAAGCTCATAACCTATTGGGAAAATGAGACAAATACATGGAAAATGTTAAAAAGTAGTATAAGACCATAATGAGAAGGATGGTTGAGTGCAGGATATGAAGTGTGAATTGAATTATAGAGGCAATATACACTATGTACTTTTTTTCATTTCCAACTAGTTAATCTTTTTCTATGGCTCTCTAGTGAACATTCTTCAATTTATCCAGATCATTCCTTAGATGCAGAGCTGAAACATTTAGTGGATATAAATCTGAACAGCTATGAGTATGTTTGGATGATTACAACTTTCTGACTGCTATACTTCTGTTTTTGTATCCCAAACCTGTTCTTGCTCTTATCACTACACCATGTCATTATCTCTTGGCAGTGTGGAAAGTGGAACAAATGTTGGAATCATGCAGATCCAGGTTTGAATCCTTTCTTCATTTCTTGCAGGCATTAGCTCTTGAATGAGTATGTTAAGGACAATTTGGTAAAAGATAACATATTCCAGCTTAGCTAGCCTAAGCTAAAACACAGCGAGAGGTGGCATACACTCATAGAACCCAAAAGCAAGAATGAAGTTGAATCTCAAGCTCAGCTAGAACTGGAGACTAAAGCACTATAGAAAACCAAGAAAATTGTCTTTGTTTCTTACTTCTATAAATCTGCTTCATTCTTTCTGGCTCCCTGTGATTTTCTCTCTTTTATAGTAGTCATGACAGGTTAGGCAGAAGCTAAGAGTGGCTAAAGCTTTCATTTCTCAGCCATAAGGATGAATAAACTTGTATTTTTTTAATCAAGGCATAGTTCACAGAAAATATAGAGAAGCTGGTAGAAAAGTTCTCATAAAAGCATATTAATTGGGATAATAAAGTGATGGTTGTTCACTATAACTAATAATTTCATCTCTTTTAGGCTAATTTACTTATATGTACAAAATCCTCCCAAAATACTAATTCTCTTCTCCCTTTCTTCCTTTCCAGTCAACCTTTACTCTCTGTTATAGAAAATATTTTTGCTAAGTGTATATAATATGAATTACCTGAAAAGAGGAATATGTGTTGATTTGAAATATGATTGAATCATTGAAAACAGCTTATATTTTCATAACTTATCCATACATTCCTCCTGAGCCAAGTAGATGCAATGGAAAGTAACAGGGATTGAGTGATTTTGGTAATTGTTCACCAAAGAAGGTTGTTTGTGGAGGTGAGGATTGTACAGCTACAGAAGCTGCCTGTGGGGTGAACTATTGGGGCAGTACCTGAGGGAATTTAGCAAAAGGCCATCAGTGGGATGCATTAACCAAGTCAAAAACCCAAAGTGTGAGAGTATCCTCAGTGCAAAAGAGATGGTTCTGAAGAATGCACAAAATTTCCCCATGCAATAGCCATGAGGTGAACCACAACAAGGCACGGTGGTCACCCAATGTGAGCAAAAATGCGTAACTTTTTGCCCTTCCAATACTCTTTTACTATTCCATTCCATGCAAGAACTAGAAACCACACACTGAGTAGAGGAGGCATAAGTTAGGAGAAATGGTTGAAGAGATGACTCCATTCCCTCCCCTACTTCAGTCTCCATGACTAGGTTCTTGGCATGAGTAAATAGGAGATGCATTGAATAGGATATGAGATTGAAGTCTTAATTTATATTGGACTGGATATTTTAATACTTCAATTCCAGAAAATGAATTATCAAGGTGATGTGGTTCTTATAACTGTAAATGACCAGAAAGCTACAGGATCTGCCTAAAATGTTATCTAGGGCTGGGAAAGTGAAATCTGATGGAGCCTGATTAAAGATAGCATTTGTTTATCCTTTCCACAAAGGATCACTTATTGAAGTGAACTGTAATTATAGTTAGTAGGGCATATAATATATTTTGATATAAATATCCAGTTCTTCCTCTAAAGAGAACTAGTTAGAACCTTAAAGCAAGACAGCTAAGGAATTTCTTATGGGGTGGTATGGCTCATCCACTGTCTGTGTGTTCCATTCTGTTCCTGGTCTAACTTAGCTGGGATGTCTATTTGTGATTACAGGGCCTTAATTACCTATGACAGAGAGTTCACAATCTTGGCTTTCTAACTCTGAGAATGACTTCATGATGCTACACAAGTATTTTTCTACTCCTGAGATCTAATGGTCTCTTAATTCTCATGTTTGTTCTTTCCCCTTGAGGGGAGGGTTGTCTACAACCTTCCTGTCTAGTTTGAAGAGGTCTTTCTGCCCCCTTGATATTAATGCTAGTTTTTTTCTTAAAGTCAAAACTAAAAATTGGTTCCCCATTTATGTAACATCATAACATTTCCTGGGTAATAAATAATTAAACAGCCTTCCCAACAATAGTAGTTGAGTTTTTTTTCTTTTTCTGTTTCGCTTTTTTTCACCCCATGGCCAATATTATATGCAAATTAAGCTTGCAACTAGCCCAAGCCTTTACATACGGTGATTTTGTGAAATGGAATTCTCTATTTCAAATATATTTCCTTTTCATTGAACTTACTGAATTTCATTCCAGTCAATTTTGCAGTTCTTAAACATCTGGCTTTTGAGAGGCAATTACCAATATATGGCATCTTCTCCCACCCCCTTACTCTGTCTTTGAAAATATGTTTTTGATTCAAGCAAGAGAAGTTTCCCTGCTTTTGTGCTTTTGCTCCAACTCTCCAAATATACAAGTAGTTTTAGAATTCTAGAGTTTCTCTAGTGTATCTATAATAAAAAAGTTTTCTGATAGATACACTACGGGCCTGGTGCATGAATTTGTGCATGGGTGGGGTCCCTCGGGGTGGCCTGTAGGGATCGGGCCCCAGCTTGTGCCCACAGCCTCACAGCTCCGCAGCCCCATCTGGTACCCTGCCATGGCCTGGCGCCACCCCTCACCTGCTCCACCATCCCGCCGTGGTCTTGCTCTTGTCAGGGCCCATTGGGGCTGGCAGCACCTCCATTGCCACCTGCTGCCAGCACCGTGTCACTGACACCCACCATGTTCTGAGCCGCCCCCTGGTGGTCAAA